GTTGTGTGGCTGCATCCCTTGCATTTCCACATCCTCAGCATCTGGGACATGAAAATGACCTAGGCAAAAAGACGTCTTTTTCCTGACCCCAAACTTGAGGCACCCTGCAGTTTGTTAATGGGGGACTGTCCACTGGCGTCGGCAGATCGCGTAGCGATTTCAATATCCTGCCTCATCTCCAAATACCTCTCCTTGATCCACCACAGACTCGAATATCCCAGGTTGCGAGTTAAGTAGTGACTCAACATATCAGGGCTTGCAGGAAAAGCCACAATACGAAGCACCCTGGCCATCCGTATGCCGCAAACAGCACTGCGCAGGAACAACGGATCTGGACACATCTCCACCCATTTCCTAAGCCTTTTTCTCATGTGCCTGTGTTCAGCACGCGCAGCTCGACGCGTTGCCAAGTTCTCGCCAGTTGCAATGGAGAACAACTGCGTTGCCTCAGGATCAAACAACTGGCCATGGGTCAAAATCCCGTACCCCCAGTGAACATCCCGATCCTGCCTACAGTAGGTTCCAAAATGGGTGGTGAATTCACCGACCCGAAAATGGGATCCCAAAACGGTTTTGACCACACAGCCGCCAACTGGCAAGCACGCTGTCGACGCTGTCGCTAAACATGGGTGAATCGGTCGGGGCTGCACCTCAGCCACCTCTTCAAACGGAGTTGGACATTGAAGCTCCGCCAATGGGAGGATTAAACCTGACTCCTGCTGGCAAATAACGTCCTTTAGAAAACAAGAACACGCGCCGGCGACTTTCATGCCAACACGATGCCTTGGAGACACTCGCCAAATAGAGTATCAAAGTACAACAAAGACGTGAACCAATCAAGGCTCAGGTAAGATATGAAAGAAGCATGCAGCGTTGGAAAGCAAGCGAAACACAAAAGCCTTCAAAACCAAAGGAAGATCGGAGGTAAGAGAGATAAGAACTCAATTCATTTACCGCCCTGAAAACAAACAAGCCAGTTTCAAGCGAGCGGCCTCGCATCTTTGCCGCGAAAGGAAAAGCAAAAATGCCTTGGTGTCCCTTCAAACGACATCATCCAATTGGAGACCCCTTCAAAAGCAAGGAGGGAATCCCCGAAAGGAATCCTAGCTCGCCGACAGGGACCCGAACGGATGCTGTAAATCTTGATAGGAATCATAAGGATAAAATTAAATCCTTACTGCAAAATGCCGGGGCTGGATGCGGTTGAAAGTCGTTGGCTGACTTGCATTTAGTTGGAATCCACCTAGTGCGGACGGGCTTCATGAAAGAAATCAAACAAGTGACACTCCCGGCAAAGCTAAAGAGCAAACTGATGGGATCTTATCAGGTTGGCTGATTCAGCCACGGGGGCCCTGGGGCACCATAGTGGCTGGTGGCTACAACAATTTTGCCAAACCCTGCCGAGATCTGATGCGCGAAATCTTCAAACGCCAGCGCATCCAAGTTGCGGTCCCTGTGGCGACCAGAGCAGGGATCACCTGGCACTAGCGTCTCAACAACTGTCAACCTTGCACAACCAACCTCAAATGGGTGGTTCCCCTTTGAGTTACCACTGGGGAGGGACCAACCCCCTTTCAACATGACACACTGGCACATGGCCTCAAACAAGGTCAAAGGGCACCCTAAAAAAAAAAGGAGAGCCGTAGCAACCTAATCTGAGAGTGACTAGTGATGTTTGTTCGGGGCCATCGCCTTCCCTTGGCTCCATAACGATCTCTGAACCGCATGGGGGCAACACCTTGAAACCCCAAGGGCCGATGCTCAGGTATTTTGAAGCCCCAGTCACGGACATTCGGGTGCGGCAAAAGCAAAGTTGAGCTGGCCAACTAGAAAGTCACGCGTGTACCGCGCAATTCCCACGCCAAACCTGACTGACGAAGTCGAAGATCGCTCTTGTGTATGAGGATTCAATCCGCGCATCCAGAGACAAGTTGCCAGTCTGAATCTATTAAGGATCCATTGCTAAACTTGCTCATGTTTCTGCATTCCCCGGGAGAATCAGAAGGCATGCGTTCTGAGAAGCCCGGTTGCAAACAATATTGTTTCCATGACGTTTTCCTTGGACTTCCCGAGAACTCACAAAACTTTGGTCTGGCTAAAACAGTGTTTAGTAAGATGGCGCAAGCAAAGTTGAGCAGACCAACTAGAAAGACAATGAAAGACACGCGTGCCGTGTGCTTTTCCCACGCCTCGCAAAGGGCGTCAGGGTAGCGGTCATCGCAAGGGTTTGGCGAGCTTCGCAAGGCAGGGCATCGCCACAAACTCCGAGCAATCGGTCGCCTTCCAGGCGCCAAGCCTCAAAACTCCGGGCGTGTGACCCTGGCTCTTGCTGTCAAGCTTCACGCCCTGAAGTTCTTGAGGCAAGAAGGTAGCCAAAGCAAAGTCGAACTCCTGACAGTGCGATCGACCGTGCTCACGGCCCCGCCTCATAGGGGAACCACCCAAATGGGCGATTTTCCTTTGGTTTGCCTTTTTTGACAATCCCCAAAAAGGGCTCCCTCCAAAAATCAGCTCCCGACACGCAACACTTGCAAGGACAACAGCCCTCGCCTGCCGATTGTCGCGCGCCAGAAGCACCCTGAAGCCCGGCGCTGCTTGAAGTGGCTCTGGGATATGCACCTTGCCGCAAGTAGCCGATCGTTGGCATCTGGCCGTCTGGCCCTCAGGCCTGCTCAAGCCCTCATCTCAGCTCTTTATGTAGGCCTTTTGTGGCCAAACATGAGCAACCCTCTGCTGTCAAGACCCTTTGTTGGCTTTGCCAAAAGTACTGGGACACGATTGCACACTGCGTTTGAGCGCTGCAAGATGGGGCATGTTTTGAAGAGCTTTCACCCCTGTGTGCTCCGTGCAACGTGTTTTTCAGGCTCTGAGAGGCACACAAGCGGTTTGAGGCCAGAACAAATGGCCAAAGAGGCCGTGCAGGCGGAGAGTGGTGCTGCAAAGACTTGCGCTGGAGGCACTGCCAGCTTGCAGCAGCTGCTTTGTACAATCGAATGAAGCGGGTGCCTGGGCAAGGGGCTGGGCATGTTTGGGCTTGACCTGCTTGGACGGGGCTGAGTTGAAGTAACACGCTGGGTCAGACTCGGCTGTCGTCTCCAAATGTGCCGTGCTGACTCAAAGTAAACCTTGGCTTGTCAGGGTGAATATAGCCAATAGCGAGCAAGTGACAATGCATCTGGAAGTCTATTGTAAGTTTGATAAGACGGGGCCTGCCCGAGTTTCCTCGCGCAAACAAGGAATGAGGCCTGCTCGATCTTCCCGTGTTAGGGAACATCCAGAATCTTGCCCCTTCCTCATGTCCATCGGCTCCGGGCTTGTCACCCTTGCTAGGTGTTGAAAAGGCCTTCTACAAGCAGAAAGGTATGCGCTGAATAGTTCTGTCTCAAAGCAGGGAGGGCCAATCGGATGTGGCCAGTTGGCCTGTGGATACACTAAGACTGGCTTAATCCAGCCAGCGTTTGCGAAAGTGAGCGAAGGCATGTCTGCAATTACCAAAAAAGGGCCAGCCAAAGTTCGCGAACCCAACTGACGTTCTGCGAGCCCGTGAAAATAGGCAAACCCTTTCCAAGCCCCAGGCCGGCTAGGCGAACTTTTGCGAACGCATTTCTACTCTTCTCACTAAGCACTGCCACATAGGTTGGCATTTCTGGAACTTGCTTTCGGCACATGCTACGTAGAATCTATCTTTGGCGGAGAAGCAGCTTTTCTTGCTTTAACCTCTTGGCTTATACCAGTCGACGTGGCAAGCAGGTGCAAAGCATTCGGAAGCTGGCTGATTCGGAATTCCCGGTGAATCAGCAATTGCAAAGCACAATGCGGCCATCGAACCTGTAACCCTTCTGCTGCAATGCATCCAGCCTTTTCGCGTACAGCAAGAGGCAGGGGCATCCGGGCTGCAAGCTTGATCACGGGCCTGTTCATTTTATGTTGTTGACGGCCAGCACCTCTAACTCCGAATCAAACTAGAAAGGGGCGCAACCACAGAACCTGTGTTGTGAAGTGCACCTGCAAGGCAAACATGTGGCAAGCTGAAGCTGCAAAGCCGTTGGCGCACGGGGAAGCTGGCTGATGCGGATTTCCCACTAGCGCCGATGACATGATAACCTTTGAACAATCGTCAGGCACAATGCGGCCATCGAGCCTGTGACGCTTCTGCGCTTGCTGTGCGTCCAGCCCTTTTGCAAAATGCAGCGAAAAGGGGCAGCAGGGCAGCAATCCTGCTCACGGCCCTGTTAAATGACGGCCGTTCGTCAAAGCTCTGAATCAAACAGTAGGGGGGTGCGACCACAAAGTCCTTGTTGCGACGCGCGCTTGCAGGGGAAAGGCGTCGCCACATCCACGTGGCAAGCTGTAGCAGCTGTAGGTGCAAAGTTGCCGGCGCACTCGGAAGCTGGCTGATTCCGGCTTTTCACTAGCGACCAGAATGAATTAGCAATGGCAAGGAACCATGCGGCCATCGAACCTGTAGCGCTTCTGCAGTTGCAATGCATGCAGCCCTTTGGCAAGACGCAGCAAAAAGCCTGCTCACAGGCCTGCTCTTTGTCCTGACGGGCAGGCAGCTCTCCTGTGCAGTCATCGAAGCTCTGCGTCGAACGACCCACAGAGTCCTTCTTGTCAGATTTACCTGCAAGGAAAAGGAGCTGTCAAGTCGATGTGGCAAGCAGGTGCAAAACATTCGGAAGCTGGCTGATGCGGAATTCCCAGCACTGGCCCTTTGATCCGAATGAATCAGCCATTGCAAAGCACAAGTAACCCTTCTGCTGCAATGCATCCAGCCTTTTCGCGCACAGCGAAAGACAGGGGCTTCCGGGCTGCAAGCTTGATCACGGGCCTGTTCATTTTATGTTGTTGACGGCCAGCACCTCTAACTCCGAATCAAACTAGAAAGGGGCGCAACCACAGAACCTGTGTTGTGAAGTGCACCTGCAAGGCAAACATGTGGCAAGCTGAAGCTGCAAAGCCGTTGGCGCACGGGGAAGCTGGCTGATGCGGATTTCCCACTAGCGCCGATGACATGATAACCTTTGAACAATCGTCAGGCACAATGCGGCCATCGAGCCTGTACGTGCATCAAGAGATCGAAGCATCCGGGCAGCAAGCTTGCTCACAGCCTCGTTCTTATGGACGGCCAGCACTGTAACGCTATCAAAGCTATGAATCAAACAAACATGGGGTGCAACCACAGAATCCGCGTTGTGCACCAAGCCCAACATGCGGCAAGCTGCAGCAAGCGCAAAGCTTGTGGCGCACGCGAATGCCGGATGCCAACTTGCAATTTCTAGCCTGGGCCCGAAACCAGCAATTGTCAGGCGCAATGCGGCCATCGAACCTGTAGAACCTCCGCAGTTGCATTGCCTTAATGCCTTTGAGACATTCAGCAAGCCAGGGACATTCGGGCAGCAAGCTTGCTTACAGCCCTGTTTGTCCCATCGACACGGCCAGCACTCCAACGCAGTTCTCTACAAGCTAAGTTTTGAAATTCACAAGGAAGGGGTACAACCACAGAGTCCGTGTTGTCAACCGCGCAAAAGGTGTTGCCAAGTCAGCAATTGTGAGGCACAATGCAGCCATGGAACCTGTGCAATGCGTGCAGTAAGAGAGCATTCGGGCAGCAAGCCAGCTCCCTGCCCGCCTCTCTGTCCTAGTCGATGTGGCAAGCAGGCGCAAAGCATTCGAAAGCTGGCTGATGCGGAATTCCCAGCACTGGCCCTTTGAGAATGAACCAGCAATTGCAAAGCACAATGCGGCCATCGAATCTGTAACCCTTCTGCTGCAATGCATCCAGCCTTTCCGCATGCAGCAAGAGACGGGGGCATCCGGGCTGCAAGCTTGCTCACTGCCGTTTTTTTTTTATTGACGGCCACCAATCTAACGCTGTCAAAGTTATGAATCAAACAAGAAAGGGGTGCAACCACAGAATCCGTGTTGTGAAGTGCACCTGCAACGTAAACACGTGGCAAGCAGTAGCAGGCGCAAAGACGTTGGCGCACGGCGAAGCTGGCTGATGCCGATTTCCCATTCCTAGCCCCAGCGACCCAAATGAATCTGCGTTTTTCAAGGCCCATTGTGGCCATCGAACCTGTACCACTTCTGCAGTTGCAGTGCATTCATGCCTTTTGAGACATGCGGCATCACAGGGGCATCCGGGCAGCAAGCTTGCTGACAGCCAGCGCTCCAACGCTGTCATCTAAGCTCTGAATTCCACAAGAAAGGCGTGCAACCACAAAGTTTGCGTTGTGAAGCGCACCTGCAAGGCAAACGTCTGGCAAGCAGTAGCAGGCGCAGAGCCGTTTGTGCACGCGGAAGCTGGCTGACGCCGACTTCCCGTTGCTAGCCGCAGTGACCCGAATGAATCAGTAGTTGTGTGGCCCGTTGTGGCCATCGAACCTGTACCACGTCTGCACATGAATCCCTTTTGAGACATGCAGCAAGACGTGGGCATCCGGGCAGCAAGTGGTTTGATCTTTTGGACGGCCAACGCTCCAACGCAGTCATCTAGCTCTGAATTAGACAAGGAAGGGGTGTAACCACAGAGTTCGTGTTGTGAAGCGCACCTGCAAGGCAAACGTGTGCCAAGCAGCAGCAGGAGCAGAGCCGTTGGTGCATGTGGAAGCTGGCTGATGCCGACTTCCCGTCGCTAGCGCCAGGGCTCGCCAAAGTGTGAGCTGTCATGGATGCGTGACCTCTGGAAGATCAAATGTCCACCGACACCGAGGGCCAAGTCACTTCAAGTGCTTGAAACGAAGCTGACTTTCCCTCTTTCGCAAAGAACTAGAGACCGGAAGCCTTGTGGGCGATTTTTTGGGAGAGTTGCACAATCTCGTAAGAACAGAGGTTGAAACAAGGGTTGCCGGAGTCGCGCAGAGTTTGGCCGCCAAAGCAAAGGCCGCTGGTCAGGAACAAATAGGTTCTGACGCTTCAAAGCAATTGACCGGCTGAGAAGCGGCCTACATCCCCTTGGCCTTGATGACCCTTTCAGGCGTACGCAGAAAGGATCACTAGATTTCCCATTGAACAGTTGCAATCTACTGGTAGGATCATATCAAACTGCCACAGTGGAAGGTCCAAAAAGGGGAAGTGAGGAACCCCTGCCACAGTTCTTGAAGTTAGCTTGCTTCAAGCTGGCAGCCCTCAACCAAAGAGCTATGACTTGAATCACTTTGCTTACTCATACAGTCCTGGGCTAGGCAGTGGGCACGAAGCAAGGCCTAGTCGGGACAAATTGCTCGCGAGCCTTGTCGAAGCCACCCCACAAACCGCTCTAGTGCATGTCAAGGATCCGGGACTAGCTACAAGCCCTCTCATTCTGCGCAGGTCGAACAACTATTGAGACACGTCAAAGGTGCAAAGCAGCGCAGTCTTCTTCTGGCAATTGACTTGCCTCATAACATATATGAATCGTGCAGCTGTGCGAACTCGGCAATGCGTCTGTACTTTGGAGACATCTCGGGCTCAACCAGATTGCACCCAAAGGCTTACATGGCATGCTCCTGCTATGCCTGCCTTGCATGCGCACTTCATCAAACACAGCCAGCTCGCACAACAAGTCAGCACTTGTTGAGTGACATCTCCACAAACGCCATGGTACAACACAACGCTGGCATCCTCTGGGCCACTGCAAAGAGTCGTTTCAATGCACAAAAACCGCAAGAGCCGAGTTGCAGAAACTAGACGCCTGAGTATGGGGCGCGAGACACCCGCACAAACAGCTTCCTTGTTCGTTGCACACAGATTGCACCAGCAAGTCTTTCGACTTGCACTGAGATTCACAATTCCTTGCTCTCGCTTTACTTTCCACTTTCGCAGCTGACGGCTCACTGACTGTCATGGGAGTGGCGAGCACACTCGAACTGGAGATGGCCACGGCCACCTGACGTGGCAACTGAGTGTGATACCCTCTTCAGGTCGGAGGCACGTGGAGAGGTCCCGCAGGTTCCACTTTTCAAGGGGTGTGGATAGTACGACTGGATAAAACATCGTGGGCCCAGGACGTCGCAAAACGCATTTCCATCCAAGCAGTCGGACAGCGGTACGCTAGCGAGATGTACGACACAGTGCATCCTTTTTCATTGTTTCGCATCGGTGCAGGAGATGCGACAACAGAAACACATTGGAAGGTGGATTGCTGGTCAACAAGCGATTCCGCACAGAACAAGGAACGAGGCGGGTTCATACGAGTCAAAACTCTGCCAGTTGTGTGCCACGGGCGTGGCTCCCTTTGTTGGAACCCTTACAGCGCTCGTCTGTGCTCGTCTTAATTCCCTGTGGGGCGCATAACCAACCCTGGCTGCAAGACATCAGCTTGGCTCACTTCGTTGAAGCTGTGAGACGTCTCCCAAACCAAATGCACAAAGCTGGGCCTTTATCAATCGGTTTGCTTTGTGTCACTGGCTCAACGACGATGATTGCCCAGACCATGCCTCAAACAAGGCGTGCCTACATTCTCAATGGGGGGCCCGGTGCTTCATACGTCATACGCAATCTCTTGTGATGCAGCCTGGCGACGATCTGCTACTCAAAAACGAAAGGACCGCTGCGAGATCCACCCAACCGTGATCCGAGCAGAATGGACTGCCGAGAAACAAGGCATTGCGTCAGCCTCGGAACTCACTGGATCTGTGAAGCGCTGCTTTCACTGGTGGAACCGCATCCAGCCACAAGTTTATTTCGCCATCTTAGGGACAATGGCGCCTTCCGCGCCCTCCAGAAAGCTTGTGAACCAGCTGTCGTCGTCGGCTACGGCTGGGGCACGGGAGCTCATGTGTACCCAAACTCTTTGGTCGGGAGTGAAGTCAGTCACCAAATTTTGTGACATGTGTGCCATCTTTGCACACAAACCCTTCCAGCAGTGAGTATGCATGTTGTGCATGTGCAAAGGACGCCGGCGGATCATTGAACAAGCGCTCGTACGCAGCAGTGATTCATTTCACAGATTCGATCTAGGAGAAACTCCTGGATTTCCTATGTTGACCAGCTTGATATCATAAAATGCTCTGCGTCAGCCGGACAAAGAGCGCTGTCAAAAAACTGCTCCGCGCAAATTTTGGCATTGACTATGACTAGCTTGACCGTGGCTCCGATGCCTGCTCTACATAGCAAACGCGCAGAAAATGCCCCTAACGTCAGGCAACACTTGCGCACTTGCTCGGAACTCCGTGCCCACGCAGTCAGGCCAGCTGTGCCACAAATTCAACGCGGCAAAGCTTGATGAATGATCCTTCGGTCCAACACCAAAGCCTCGTCAGCTCAAAGTCTCCTTTGCCACTCGCAGGCCGCAACGCAGGTCGTGCGCGGCGAAGCTCGCAGCATGCGAGCGACTGCGCGGGCCAGGCGCAAGACCAAGGCCAAGGCCACGCCTAGCTCGTCCCAAAAACGTCGAGTGCGGGACCAAGCTCAGAAAACGCGTGCCAAGCCAAAGACGAAGTGTGCGATATGTGTGCCAACGTCGTTGCCAAAGCTCGGCCCACAGTCCTTTCTGCAAAGAAAAAGCGACCCGAAGCGTGAATCTGGCAAGGAAGCATAGGTGGGCAAGCCGCTAACGGCCTCCCACAAATTCGGGGGACATAGTGGCTGTTTAAATTGCCAACACGCCTAGCTTACACGCTCATGGACTCTGCAGGCATGTGCCAGAAGCCCAATGTGGCGGAAAACCACCCCTGAAGGAGCCTTCTCGGCTCTGGCAAGCCTTGGGGGGACCTCTGGAGGCAATGTCTCTGAATTCAAACCTCCATTTGCTTAAGTCCCCTGGGAAAAATCGAAAATATTTCCAGTAGTGATAGATTCCCTTTAAAGCCGACAGGGGAAAACAACACATATTCATTTCACCAAATGGAAGCAAATGTGCGCACCCTTTGCGACAAGGGAAGCCCGCTCGTGAGCCGAGGCCAGATGCGCAAAGCTGCGCATCAAACTTCAGGCGCCATTTTGCGGCCAAAACCACGTGGGGTCGAGGCTTCTGTTGGGCGCCCTTTGCGCGGTTGTTCTGGATGTGGAAAACAATGCGCAACAACTTGGTGTGAAAAACGCTTCCTCCATGAGACCCGATCCATATAATCCATTTCTTCCAAGCATTGCGAGCCCGCGGTGGTATCTTTTACTTCGCGGACACAAAGCCCTCATTGGACAAACTTTACTTTCCACTTCTCAAGGCCTCAGATCTGTTTCTGTCGACTCCTGAACTTGGTCTGGTTAGTTAGAAGCATGCTTAACCAAGCAGTGACACCACACGCGTTTGGGCAAACACATAGCCCTGTTGGGCTGGCTGAATTATTACAAACTTGAGGACAAAGTCTATGACATGCCAACCACCTTGGCCTTGAGAAGAGTTGAGCCACAATCAAAACCTGGTATTGAAGTGCTCCACTCAAAATCATGCAAATACTCTTAGAAGGCGGCCGCGCCTATTTATGGCTGGAGCTGGCCCTTATTATATAACCTGCACTTACCCGTGTTCTGATTGCGGTTCATTTTTCACACGGAGCCTTGAACAGTGGCAAACACCTCGAGACGTGTCAGGTCTCACAGCCTTGTCTTTTCACGGCTCTGACGGCGCTGACGGCTCCGGCTCTGAGACAAAGGGCAATATGGCCGTGGGTCAAAAATAGGGTAGCCCCAAAATGGGTTGCCCTGGTAAGTGGAAACCATGACTGAAACCTAGTGGTCTATATCCTGGTGGTTTCATTTTGACCCATACCCATATGCGATCAGCTGTGGTCCTGCGTTGCGGAATTCCACTCAGCCACGGCCGTGACAGCCGCGGCGATGCTTTTCGAAGGCAATGGCCCAGACAAAGGCCACCAGCAACACCGGTTGCAGGTCATAGATGGACAAAATCGGTGATCCGTGCGCACAACATTGGGAGGTAGGCATTCTTGATACCTCATTCTACTGACACGAATGCACTTGGGAGTCCAAAGTCACGACAATTCGCGCCACGTGCTCTGCTGCGCCCAGCTCCAAGACCAAGTTGGGCTTGAAGCTTCTGTGTGGCGCCCTTCGCGCGGTTGTTCTGGATGTGGAAAACAATGCGCAACAACTTGGTGTGGAAAACGCTTCCTTTATGAGACCCGATCCGGTTAATCCATTTCTTCCACGGCCTGGCCACTGCAGTATTGTGAGCCCGCGGTGGTATCTTTTACTTCGCTGACACAAAGCCCTCATTGGACAAACTTTACTTTCTGCTGGCATCCCGCCTCAATTTTGACTCCACTTCTCCACGCTTCAGATCAGTTTCCGCCGTTTAAGTAGTGGGGTGTTCTTCCCCCACATACGTAACAGGATGCATACAAGATGGGACGCAACCGGATGCATACAAGATGCATCGCGACGCGTGCACAATAAAACTCGCCTCATCTCGCCGTGCGTTGATTCCGACTTGTTAGATCGCTTTCGGGCCACCGAACATGGGACGCTAATGCCCTCTTTGCTCTCATGGGCTGGCCATTCCCAGTTTCTTCGGGGCTGTAGTACGAGTACAGCTAATCCCTTGATCCGGGTTCCAATCGATTCGGCAAGCAGCTTCGGACACCTTAACCTTGATGATAATCTGCAGAGCTCTTGAGAACAGCACGATGTAAGCTCAGCATAAAAGCCAACAAATGCTGAGTGTGTGCAACTGTGTCTCAGTCACTTCTCCTGGCTGTCTCAGTTCAAGTATCCAATGGCTTGCCTTCTGCAAGAGGCAGCCATAGCGGCTCGCATAGTCTGAAAAGCCACAGACCAAGCCAAGTTCTGGTCCCTTCCAAACTGTTTGAGATGGCCCATCCATTTTCCCATCCCAAAAAAGGAAATCACTGAGAGGGGCCCCTTCGCCACCCGAGAATTCCGAGAGCCTAGGCAACTCCGTGGCATCTACCAAGGATGCATCGGACCCTGCCTCCAAACATGGACCCTGGAAGATAAATGGAACGGAAGTGAAAACGGCCGTCAATGTGCTGAATGTCAGCTCATGACCCAATGCTGGCACGGTGGCATCAGCGCAGTCCAAGTTACGGGTGTTGAATTGCGCCATGGCCCTCTACCATGCGGAGGATGCCTAGCTTAAGCATCACCCTGCAGGTCTCCCCGAACGAGCCAAACAACCTAACCGCTTGCGTGACAAAGCTGCCTTGAGCCCGACCCCTGTTTGCAGGTTTCATGACATGAGCTGGCCTCCAACAGATCCAAGAGTTTGTTTTCTTCTTTTCGGATCCAAAGAACAGCCATGTTGGCAGTTGACCTGCACGGCAAAGCCTTCTGACGTAAAAACGAACCACTTCCAAGGTCAATCCTTAAAGCTGCTTGAGAAGTGAGCCGCGTCGGCACAGTGTCCACTCTCATGGCACCACAAGTGCTCGTGGCCTACAGCAGGCAATCTCTTCCCATCACAATCTACTTGGAGCGATTCCGATGTCCCGGGTGTCATTGATTCAATTTCCTCGATAGGGGGTTTTTATTGGACCGCCTGACATCTTGTCAATGCAGATCTCGGCATGTGGTCACGTGACCCGGGAAAGGAAACGCAGTTCTCCATGCCACACCCCTCTCTGGGGAAGAGCCGCGGGGATCTATCTGGGCTGAAAATAGAGTGTTGGCCAATCCCAATCCACAATTTTTATTGGCAAACCGCGACTAATTGGGGGCCTAACCGCTCAGTGGCTTCACCCGACCTTTGAACAGCCCAGGTTCCAGCCCCGAAAGTCAACTGCCTGTGGGCCAAGCCGCTAAGCCTTCCGCGCGGCTTGAGTGAATCTCTATGCATAGCTCCGGGATAGACTGACTGCTCAAGCACATACCTGGCTCGAGTAAAACCATCGCCTTGCAGAATGGCAACATGCCGTGCTCTTGTCCTAACTCGGAATCAAGCTTGTCTTGCAAGCTCGGCATATTTTGTGCGCAAGCTTCCGAGTCGCCAGCGCAGATGTCTGCAAAGCTCCAGTGTGCGCATGTATCAGCCAAGCCTTTGCCATCAAGCCGCGTCACTTCAAACGGCGAAGTGCACACGAACAAACGAAAAGCACTGGTTGCACACGTGTTAAGAGCGAAAGCAGACTTGACATGCTTCCTCTTATCAATCTGTGCTCCACTTCAGCGAGTCTTGCTCGTGGCTGCAACAGTTATGGTGCGGCGCGCTGCACACATCAGAAAACCGTGATGGTTTGTCCGCGCGCATGACGAACAGGAACACATTGTGCGTTCCCCGAACTCAGAGAGCTGGGCATAGCTTCAGCTCAAGACGTTTCACCAATATGATCCTCTACTGCTCAAGACTGCCTGAAAGCAGCACACAAAACTTGTGTTGACTGGAAGCGGTCAGGACATGAAACAGCAGGGTGCGCTTACTTGGAGGCTAACCCATGAACACTGAAGTCATAGCCTGGTCTGGGCAGGGGCAAGTCGTTTCTGCCAGCCCAACATGGGCAGGGGGCAATGTGCTCCTTATACGGGTTAACTAACGCGCAACATAGCAATGTTGTATCACATATTTCGACCAGAGCGCAGCGTCCGGAGCACGAGACATGAAACCAGCGGGAGCAGTTTGCTAGGATTCTTGATTGGGGGAACTTTTCGCGGACATTCTTTACATGGGAATTCAAGCAACCAAATCCATTGTTTGCGGGCTGTTCAATGCCTTGCACAACACACAACACTTTAGGCCGGTGCGCGGCTGCTCCGAGCTCGACGTGCTCCGCCCATTTCCGCTTAGCTGCAGTAGCACTTCTTCCACCATGTGAGGCATCAGGCTGAGCGCGCACGAAAGGCATTGGGGTGTGCACATGCTCACGCGGCTACCTTCGGGCGAGGCGGTAAGACCCGGCTTAAAGAGAGCGCCAAAGGAACACCTCTTGCCACCAGCTTTGAGAAAGCGAGAACTTGAAGTGAGGCCACTTCCTGACGGATGGCAAAAACCTGTTGGTTTTTGCCAGGGCACTCTAAAGGCAGCAATCTAAGCCAGCAGCCAACAACACGGTTGTCGCTTCGCCAACTATGAAGCGGAAGAAGTTGATATGCCACGAACGCAAGCGACTTGACGCCAAGTGAGTCGTGCTGGCAACAACACGAAATACACATTTGAATTCTCCTTGGGGCTGGGGCGTGTCACTTGGTTGCGGAGCTTTTTGACAGCAAAGCGCCATGTATGTGAGCACTACAAGCCAGGAAGCAAGGTTGCGTCGCGCTCTTTTCAATTCCCTTGGAAAGCATGACTGGGTCTGCCCGGTGCGTGACGAAACACTTGCACGTAGGCCGACTGCTTTGCAAGCGCTGTCACGCCCGCTGTGGTGTTTTGAGGATACTTTCGAGGCTGGTTTTACATGAACCAAAGGCAACCTGTCCAGTGTGGAGGTTCCCCCCTTCTTGAGACTCGACTACATTTTTTGGTGCCGGAAAAAGAGCAGGAACAGCACAAATCCGGCGGGAAGCGGGAGAGGTGACGAGTGGGCTACATCTCGAGCGGTTGAGCCACGCATCTGCATTGAACAGTTTCTTATTGCACCGTGTGCTCCAGCAATCGGTTCAGTGATGAATGCCACTCATGCTTACTCTACCTGGGTTGGTCTCTGACTAACTGCAAGACATTAAGCCGGGGTGGTGAGCGGGCAGGAAAACCTGTGTCAATTTGACTAAAGTGTTGTGAATTCGGTCGAAGAGCAATAACGCTACATGACTCCAAGGAGCTTCTCCCCGCCAGTCAGCTTGCCGTAAGTCAGAGAGCTGGGGCCTTCCAGTGGAAGCTCAAGGCATCGCTCTGACTTAAGGCAAGCGCCAGTCACCTCACACAAACACGCGTGCGAACATGGGTCAAAAATGGGTCAAAAATGGGTACCCAAAATGGAACCCATGACCAAACCAAGCGGTCCCCTGGTGGCTTAATTTTGACCCACACCCATCTCAAAGTAGGCGATTAGGCTGAATTTGATCACGTGGCAAATGGTTTGGCGGAAAAGAAGCTTCCTTTGAAAGGGCATCATTGCGTGGTCACGCAGCAACCAAAGCTGATGCAGTTTGAAGAGGCCCCACCGCCTTGCACGGGACCCCCCTTGATCAAGTAGTCCTTTAAGCCACCTTTGGGAGTTTGGCATGAGAGGAATCCTACAGGCGCCCATCTCTTTTTGCACAAAGCAGCCTTAGAGCAACCCTCTTGATCTCTTCATCGTCCACACGTTCACCATGCGCGCGGCCTGACGCTTTTGATACGAAGGTTCTTATTTCCGCTCCCGAAAGGCAATTGAACCTGTAGCATGGAGCAGCATCTCGGACGCACGCCATAATTTCGGAAACACCCAGCTGGCGTTCGGCCTTTTGGTGTGGCTGTGTGCATGTGTGCGCCAAAAGGTCGAGGCTTGGCGACCCCGGCCGAGTCTGGTGCCTGAAGAGTCGAAAATACCTTTGCCTCGAGAACAGGTGGTGCTGGGCTGTTCAAAATGGAGTGTCGGCCAATCCTACTCCATCATTTGGCCATTGAACCCGTTGGAAAATGGAGCAGCATCTCGGATGCACCCACAGTTTCGGAAACGCTCAGCTGGCTTTTGGCCTCTTGGTGTGTGCCGAAAGGCCCAGGTTTTGCCAACCCGGCTGACTCTGGTGTGCCTTCTGAAGAGCCCGCAGGCACAGGACACTACCTTTGTCTCAGGGATTAGCTTGAAAGAACAGAGAGGATGAGTGGCTACCTTGGCGTGGCTACCTTTTGGAAAGGGGAAGTGGGGTGATGTGGTCTTCTGAAAGCTATGTTCTTTCCCAAGAGCGGAAATTGCACTATCGATGGAGATCTCAAGTGTCCACTTTCCCTCAAGTCCATTTCTCAGTGAACGAACTGACGACCTTAGCCGGTCCCCAGTTCTGGCCATCTGCAGAAAGGCGCTGTCATGCTCTATCTGCTCATAGGCACACTCGGGTCCTTTTGAAGTTGGTACCCATTTTGGGGCTTTCAAGGCAAAGCCAAGTGCTTGGCCTGACAGGCTCGTTAAATTTGCTAACGCCGGAGCCTGAGATCAAGCCTGTGCTCACCGCCCCTTCCGAAAGAGCAACAGCAAAAGAGTCAGATCCTTGGCGAACCACCAACCACCCTTTGCGGACCAGTGCTTCCAAGTAGACGCCAAGAACAATGCGACAGGCTTGGGCTTCGTCTTGGGGGAACCTCTTTTGGTTTCAAGAGACACCCAAAGCACGCAAAGTCATTTGGGGTTGCCTAGCTAGAACCCATTTCTTGGAGCTCGGCTTGGTGGCTCTTTCTAGACACCTGGCTTGGCAAGATCACAACATGACAAGCTGCAAGCGGGTGACGCAGCAGCTCGGATCTTGGAAACCGGTTGAAAACCTTTGCGTATGCGTGAGCATCACACACCTCAACTTAGCGCGCGGCTAGCTCAGCAGTTGGCTTGAAACAACGCTTGAATTCACCCCATGTCTGTGTGTGCCCTGAAACAGGCATTGCCTCCCCAGACGCAGTTGCCGCTTCGAAAAGAATTGGTTCATGGCAACACCCGTCGCATGACGCGACAATACTTGTCGAAAAGCCGTGTTTGTGTCAGCTGGCACTGGCCCTAACATACACGTGTCCATGTGAGGTGTCAAAAAGTACCAAGCAAAACATGACCTAACTGATCCCCTGGTGGCTGTGGCTCAAAACCATGTCAAATGGAACCAAAGACTACAACCTGCGTCATCCTGGCTCTTTTATTTTGAGCCACAGCCTGGTGCTGCATTGGTACTGCCCCGGCTCGAACGCAGGCAAGGTTCTCAGGAACCTTTGGGCTCCAAAGTGGCTGTGAAGCTTGAATAGGGACCCGGTCAAAAGTGGCCGGTAGGGTCCCCAATTAAGATTGCTGCCCATGGCGCTCCTGGCTCTGCGTGAGACTTGAGAGTACAAAGAGAGCACAACATGCACCAACAAACAGCTGACTGTGACGCGGTTTCTTGATAGACTCAGGGCCGCAAAAGGAGATATGCTTCGACATGCACTGGAACAAGCAGGTTTGGCCGGCTTGTTCTTGTCATTTCTGAGGTACTTAGAAAATCGAAGAATGCCCTCAA